CAAGTTCCATAATTGGCGTGCTGCAGCAGAAAAGGCCCTTCTTGTAACAGCCCTTCTTACCTGCGTCAAGGAAGGCTCTTGGAGGAGGACCTCCACAGATGATCTTAAGATCCGGGCAGGCTCCTATGTAAGGAAACATTAGATAACACAGAGATAGCCGAGGAGGAAGAGCTTATTTCAAGGTCACCATCTTCAGCTGTTCAGGCAGATTCTGGGAGCCAGCAGGGTCTGGGTGCCAGGAGGAGCCAGGGGAGCATGGTCCTATTCTTGACCCCATGATGTGGTGTCAAGAGAGAAGGGCTAGCCAACTATCTACAAATAGAGTTGATAATTTCAGGAAGTCATTTGTGCACAGCTCTGGTATTGTAGTAGTACAGACTACCTAACGGGGCTCTTGTAAGGTTTACTAAAATGTCAGTAAAATGCTGTATCTCTCTAAGCATGTGCATTTTTAACACGTAATACAGTTGTTTGATTCAAGTGAGAAATTTCTGAATTACATTTTTTCCTGCAACCTAAGAGAGAGAGAGAGATGTGGCATTTGGGACAACACCTGTCTTAGAGTATTAAAGGTACCTTTAGAAGCAAAATCTGTGTTTGGGCTTCCTTGTGTGCCTCTCCTTTCTTTTGTAATTGTTAAGTTTTGTTCTTGTTTTTTTTTAAGAATGCAAAGCCAGATTTTATAATTATTTGGGAACTGATCCCTTCACTAGAACAGGTAGTTTGATCGCTTTGTTTCTGTGAAGTTCTAACTCTTCCAGGTACATACCTGTAAAACTTATGAAAACCTGTAATACAGAAGGCTCCAAAGGGGCTGGCCTAACTGTGAAGCAGTCTTCCACGGCAATATTTTTATGGGGCATGATGCTGTGTGTTGTCTGAGAGGAGCTCCCTAAAATAACTTAAAATGGTAGAGAGGATGTTGGACTGTAGCCCCATAAAATATGGGCCAATACAATTGCTGGCTAAGTTGGCTGTGCATACAGAAGGGCGTAGACTTTAACATGGATAAATAATAATAATAATAATAATAATAATTATTATTATTATTACATTTCTATGCCGCCCCTTGCCGAAACCTCGGGGCGGCTTACAACACGATAAAATACAATGAAATACAATAGCACATAATAAATTACCATTTAATACAAAATACAAAAAATACATTCATTTACAAATATAAGAATTAAAATTATCAGTATAAATTAAGTAAATAAAAATATAGGAGGAGAAAGAGAAGGAAGAAGAAGTTGCCCTGGCCAGATCATATGTTTTAACAATTAAAATGATGTTTAAATAAAAAGGTCTTTACCTGGCGCCGAAAAACCAGTAACGACGGTGCCAGGCGGACCTCTTTGGGGACTGTTTCTTCTCCATGTCATTTTTGGATGTGTTCCACCATTGGTACATTCTACTCCATTTCTGCAGTGATATGGAGGTTTTAAAAATTCAGCACAAAAAGGCACATTTAAATATGTGTGTTAAGTTTATTTTATCTCAAAATAAGTATTTAAAACAGTTAATACCTTTCTGAGCTAAGAACTATGTGAGAACATACTCAAAGTGTGAAAGTCCATGGATAACTAATTTTACATTGATCTGGAAGACGCCCAGTAGACCAGATATTGGAATTTGTAAAGATTAAATTCCTCATGTTTCCTTCCGAAGCTACCCTCTTTCCCCCATATTGCTCATGTACAAAAGGAATAATAAAGATAGATTGTAAGGCTTTTCCAGAATTGCCTTGAAATTGGGAAGTAATGTCAGGCTCAGTTCTCAGTGTGAGTGCAGGTCCAGTTGTGATAACAATATTTGAGTACCTTAGATGCATCTGAGAGTTTCAAAGAAATAGAAATTGGGAGAAATGTTATATACTCTCAAACTGAGACTGAAGCCAAGAAATTAGAAGATTGTGACTTTGAAGGAACTAGAAAACTCTAAAGACATTTCACTAAAGACCAAAGCCATGATCATCCACACTATTGTATTCCCAAACATTATGAATAGATTTTAAAGCTTGCCGGTGAAGAAAGTTGACAGGAAGAAAATTTGAATCATGGTGCTGGAGCAGAGCTTTGTGAATATCCTGGACCAACCGAAAGATAAAAAGTGAGTCCTAGATCAAATCAAGCCAGAACATTCCGTGCAAGCAAAACCAATGAAACTGAGGCTGTTTTACTTCAGATGTATCTAACATTAGAAGACCATTGTCAAAGGAAAGTCAAAAGCAGAAGAAGAGAAACACCAGATATGAGATCAGTAAAGAAAGTACCAGGCTTCACAAGAGCTAATGAGGGTTGTCAAGGACAGGACATTTTGGAGGTGCTCCTTTGTGGGTTACCATAACTTGGAGATGACTTGTTGACATAACAGTCAAGTTGCATGGGGTAGTCAAGAATGTATATATTTCAGATAGACATCAAGAAGCATAATCATGGTGTTTGCAGGATCTGCCTTCTATATAACCCATTTGCTTCAGATAACCAGAGATTGTCTGACCGACATGGGGAGTCTAGAGGATTGGCTATGAAGTTTAAGTTCAACCTACCGAGGTGTTGTATGCAATGTTCTTCTAGAGAAAAAAAATGCAAAAGTTGCGTTAATGAAGTTGTAATGAGTGGTACAACAGCTTGGTAGAATCAGTTTACTAGATTTGATTTGACATTTGTGCAAGGTTAAACATGAGGTTTATGCTAGTGGAATTGGCTAGACTGGATAAAATGCATGGTGTGCTTACTGTAGTATTCGAGGCCATACATTGGAATGCTGGCTATAACTCAAGCACAGATATGTTTCCTTATGTAGGCAGCCTGAGATGTTTTACTGTATTATCCCAAGAAAGTTTCATCTTACAGTATTCACTGGTATTAATGATTAAAGAGGAAGTTGCCTTTTTAACAGGTTTGAAGTGATAATTTTGCCCTTCAATAGTGTGAATTTTATATTTTCACACATTTCTTCTTTGTGATGTGATGAAGATATTTGGCTACATTTATAGCTTCAAGGGGTAGGGGAAAGTAGCTGCAGTATTTTCCCAGCTTTTAGTGGAATTCCCTTTACATGGCATAGCCATGTACAAAGATTTGCCAATAAGTAACGGATACGTTAAGATGATAGATTCCCAAAGGAAAAACGAAAACACATGCACACACTATTAATTACAGAGTATAGGCACTACTGGGATTATATGGGATTTCTTAAAGCCTAAAATTGTGAGATGTATGATAAAACTGTGTTAATCACAGCTGTAAAGGGAGTAAAAGGAAATTTCTAAATCTCCCAGTTGTGGAGAAAATCTTGAAAATGTAACTGCAGAATGCCTCAAAAAGTCTCAGAAGCCAAAAGAGAAACAGCATTAAATCCAATGCATTGTTATGCCTTAGAAAATCTAAGCTCAGGTGGAGATTTTTTTTTTTTTTTAATCCCAACATTTTTGCTTCTGAGTCTTAAACATTTTGGTCTATTAATTTTTTTGCTACATAAACTGCAAGTTTATAAAACAGGTGTAGGCACCAGGAACATCCTGGGCCACATGCAGTTATCGCTATTTCCATTTCTCCTCTGTTGTCCTTTTGTTTTTAAAAAATTGAGAGAAAATTTGTTTCTGTAGCATCTATGCAATACCTGAATGGTCAAATTTAGCTTGTCTGCAGGCTAAACTAGGTCCTTTAGGCACTACAGAGATGCAGGCAGGCTAAATGACTGGTTTGCCACTGATATTTGGCAGCACACTGGCAATTTTGTTTCCTCTGCCCTCGACTCCCTTCAGAATATGGTTTGACAAGTGGGAAGGGCTAAGGGTAAAAATAGTCCCTGCACCTCCAGAAGTTGCCTATCACTTTTATAGAAAGTTACAATCCAACCTGGCCTATTCTTACCCTTGTTGCTCATATTTAAGGAGGTAAGTACTTCCCCAAGCAGTTAATAATCAACAGCTTGAGCTTCACATCCAGTTAAAATCTTTACTCATCAGATGTGGTTACCCAAACTACTGTTCTTGTGCCTACCCTTATTATTGCCTCTGTAAGAGGTTAATGGTGCTACAGGGCTGTTGCAATCTTTATTAAAAGAAAGTGCTATATTAGGGGCTGTTGCGATGCTCATTCAACTGGGATTGCGAGCCATTGCAGTCAGGGAGATTTGGTGCTGGATAACCAGAGAATGGTAGGTCTGTGGGTTTTGCTAGGTATTAATACTTTTTTGAATACTTCTGATTTTCTTCCAGTTATGAGTATGATTTCTGGCCATAATTGCAAGTGAAACTGTGAAGGCACAGTGCAGATCATGAATTTGCTTACATGCAAGAGTTCAGCTTTTTATTTGAGAATGAATCTAAAATAACTAATAGACCGTATTTTTATACTCTGATGACAACTAGTGTCCATACTTAACATAAAACATGGAGTGGATGGGTGAGAAAGACAGAGCAGCTGAAATTAATGAGTATGAACTGATCATGAATGTATACCCAAAATGCACTGAGCGGTCAGCATCTGACTTGGGGATAGATAGTATGTTTCTGCGTTTTCCTAGAGTCCCCCAGGCTCCAGTTCTTTTGTGTTAGCTGCCACTACTAACATTTTCAGTTTGTTTTGGCCCACAAAACAAAGGCAAGTTCTTTAAACAGATATGTCCAAAGGATAGTCTTTGTCAAGTATGTTGATTTGCTTTCCATACATTCTTATCAGTAGTCTAGACACATGAAGAACACAGTGAATAATCTATCATTTTTTTTAAAAGCTTTTCCTTCCTTAAACAAAGAGGTTCTCAGTCTATTTTATGAAAGGATGGGAGCAGCATTTCTCCATAAGGGAGAAGGCAAGAGAGCAAAAGATAGTTAACAAAGTGATTTTTCTTGGTGTCTCTCATCTAATCAATAGATAAATAAAATGAATACAGTTGCAGGAAATATGCAGTCATTACCCAAAATAACAGAATTGTCTAAAAAAGGAATATAGTGTTAATTACAGATATTTTGGAACTGTATTTTGTTTTTACAGAAAGCAGAAGCCACTGGAGAAAAACGACCAAGAGGCAGGCCCAGGAAATGGGTAAGCATTGCATTTAAAGGCTTTACTTTTTCTTTACACCCTTCAAAACATAGCAAATTAACTTTAAAGAAGGCAGTTGTTTTATTTGTGTCTGTTGCTTTTCTCAATTTGATTTTTCTTCTAGTGAATCCAGGCCCCACATCAGTGGTTATCACAATTGGGGAGTGGGAGAAATGCATCTCCAAAAATGCTGTTGTCTACATAATTACAATTATTAATAATTTGGAGAGTAATAGCTGCACAGAAGGACGGCACTCGCTCCCTTGACTTGCCTGTCTGAGTGATCTCGTTTTTCTGCCCCATGCACCCACACAGGGCCGGGCTGTGTGCCTGTTTCCTTTGTCTTTGTAGGGTGTATGTTTTTTCTTGTGCTGGCCAAGGACAGAGATTGTGTGCCTGACAAGCACCTGTTATCATCCCTCCTCATTCTTGCTGCTATCACTTTCTCTGGGCAGTTATCTCCATAACTGCTTTCCCTCGTCCTTGGAGTCCTCTGGACAGGATTGTCTCTTCACCGCTTTGTACTTGTGACAGTTGTGCTGGAGGGAAAAGGAATGAGCTGCATGGCATTTCCGCAGTGATGAAGCAGCAGTAACACCAGGGCACTGGGCCACAAATTCTGGACTGTGTCTGTGTGTAGAAAGATCCATTGGAAGCCTCCTGCGTGCAGCCCATAGCAACTTGAAGCAGCTGTGAATAAAATCAGTAAGAGTTAATGCATATGAGGAGTTATCACAACCTGCTTACCTTTAGACTCTGGCAGTTTGCTCAAAGACACTTTACTACTGTTTGTTGAGAGGAAATACTTAGGTGAACCTTATCTGCATGAGTGAACATCAACTCTTCCTTTAAACATAACAAAAAAAAGCATAAGGGTTACACTGAGATAATTCATTGGGCAAATTGGTTACAAAGGTTAAGGGGGGTGGTTATCAGGCATCAGAAAGTGATTATGAAAGAGGATAAAATTCAGGTGTAGTGTATCCAAAGATAAGGTTGATAAACAAAACTCCTTTGTCTCATAATATTTTATTATTTATTTATTTCATTTTATACTGTCCAGTAGCCATGGCTTTCTGGGTGGTTAACCAAAGTTAACAAAAAATTAAAAAATGTGTGCATTAAGATAAAATTAATCTAAAAACAACAAAATCATAGTAGCAATTGAATTGGCATAGTAGCATAGCAACAATACAGAATGAAATGCAATACTAAAACATGGGGTTCAAAATTAAAAGGTTAAAATGCAGGGAAAATAAAAAGATTTTCACCTGGCACTGAAAAGAATACAAAATAGGGGCCAGGTGCAACCTCTTTGGGGAGCTCATTACACAACTGGAGTGCCACAACCGAAAAGGCCCTTCTTCTGGTAGCAACCCGAAGGACCCCCAAAGGTGGCCTCAGGGTCCAGTAGCTATATAGGGGATGAGGCAGTCATTCACATACCTGACCCCAGGCTGTTTAGGATTTGAATGTTAGTACTAACACTTTAAATTAGGCCCAGACTTCCAATTGGCAGCCAGTGAAGCTGGAAGAGGACTGGTGTAATATGTTCTTGCAAATGAGTTCCATTAACAGTCTTGCTACCCTGGTTTGGATCAGCTGAAGTTTCTGTACCATTTTCAAAGGCAGGTCCACATACAGTGCATTGTAGTAATCAAAATGAGAGATTACCCAAGCATGGATAACTGTAAGGGAGAGGCTATCTCTGTCCAGGTACAGCTGTAGTTGGTATATCAGCCTAAGCTGATAAAAGGTTCTATGCGACCAAGTTTACTTGTACCTCAAATGACAACTCTGAGTCCAGGGGCACCCTCTAACTTTGTCCTTTAGGGGAGTGCAATCCCATCTAGAACAGGTGGAATATCACCTAACTGGACAGAGGACCCAACCACTAACAGCACTTCCATTTTGTCTGGATTGAGTCTCAGTTAGCGGGCCCTTACCCAATCCAGTGTTCAGGCACTGATTCAGACTGCCTTACCTGGGTTTGATGAAAAACTGGGGTAGAGCTAAGTGCCCTATGCATATTGGTGATACCTCGCTCCATATCCAATTTGCCCACTTCCAGATCACCATCTTCCTGCCCAGTCGAGAAAACTAGATCAAGAGTGTGTCCTTTTACATGAGTTGGACTTGTAACATGTTGAGATAGCCTCATGGCTGTCAAGGCAGCCATGAAGTCCTGAACCGCCCCGTATACAGTAGCCTCAGCAGAAAGTTAAGATCCTCCAGAACCATCATCTTTGGGATCCTCAACACCAAGTCTGAGAACACCTCTGTCAGTTCAGGTAGGGAATCTGATGGGCAGCAATGTGGGCGGTACACCAGTGGAATTCATAATCTGTCTTAGGCACCCAGCACAAGCACTCGAGACCCATACTCAAGTGAACAGGAGGCCCAGAGGGGGAGCATTATATTCTTATACACCATGGCCATCCCCCTTCCCTGGCCCTCATGTCAATGCTGGTGCTCTGCTGAATACCCAAGAGGGGATAGCTGAGAGAGGGTAACCCCTTCCAGCTCACCCACCCAGATCTCAGTGATGCAAGCCAGGTCAATCCGCTAATCCACAATCAAGTCATGGGTGAGGGAGGTCTTATTCTGGTCCAACCTGGCATTCAGCAGCAGCACTACCAGAGCCAAAGCAGGTAAGGTTGCCAGGAATCATCACACTGGGGGAAGAACCAGAAGAGGGGATAGCTCTGTATATGTGATATCTAGCCCCTCTTCTTATCTGGCATGTTGGTCCCCCAATGCCACATCTTGCCCTGAACTAAAATGGACAGGAATGGGTGAATTTAATTCAGATGACCATCAGGTATACTACTGCGGGCAAGAATCCCTCAGAAGAAATGGAGTAGCCTTCATAGTCAATAAAAGAGTAGGAAAAGCTGCACTGGGATACAATCTCCAAAATGACAGAATGATCTCAGTTCGAATCCAAGGCAAACCATTCAACATCACAGTAGTCCAAGTCTATGCCCCAACCACTGGTGCTGAAGAGGCTGAAGTCAACCGGTTCTATGAAGGCCTACAACACCTTCTAGAATTAACTCCAAAAAATGATGTCCTTATCATCATGGGGGATTGGAATGCTAAAGTAGGAAGCCAAAAGATAACTGAAATAACAGGCAAGTTTGGCCTTGGAGTACAAAATGAAGCAGGGCACAGGCTGGTAGAATTTGTCAAGAGAATACAATGGTCATAGCAAACACTCATAACAACCCAAGAGACAACTCTACACATGGACATCACCAGACGGTCAACACAGAAATCAGATTGACTATGTGCTCTGCAGCCAAAGATGGAGAAGCTCTATACAGTCAGTAAAAACTAGACCAGGAGCTGACTGTGGCTCAGATCATGAGCTTCTCATTGCAAAATTTAGGCTTAAATTGAAGAAAGTAGGAAAAAGCACTAGGCCACTCAGGTATGACCCAAATCATATTCCTGATGAATATGCAGTGGAGGTGACAAATAGATTTAAGGAATTAGATCTGACAGAGTGCCTGAAGAACTAAGGATGGAGGTTCGCAACATTGTACAAGAAGTAGCAACTAAAACCATCCCAAAGAAGAAGAAATGCAAGAAAGTAGAATGGTTGACTGAGGAAGCTTTACAAATAGCTGAGGAAAGAAGAGAAGTGAAAGGCAAGGGAGAAAGAGAAAGATACAAACAATTGAATACAGAATTCCAGAGAATAGCTGGAAGAGTTAAGAATGCCTTCTTAAATGAACAGTGCAAAGAAATAGAAGAAAACAATAGAATAGGGAGGATCAGAGATCTCCTCAAGAAAATTGGAGATATGAAGGGAATGTTTCATGCAAAGATGGGCATGATAAAGGACCAAAATGGCAGGGACCTAACAGAGGCAGAAGAGATTAAGAAGAGGTGGCAAGATTACACAGAAGAACTATGCAAGAAAGAGCTTAACGTCCCTGATAACCACGATGGGGTGGTCACTGACCTCGAGCCAGACATCCTGGAATGTGAAGTCAAATGGGCCTTAGGAAGTCTGAGCAACAACAAAGCTAGTGGAGGTGACAGCATTCCAGCTGAGCTATTCAAAATTTTAAAAGATGATGCAGTAAAACTGCTACACTCAATATGCCAGCAAATTTGGAAAACTCAACAGTGGCCACAGGATTGGAAAAGGTCAGTTTACATTCCGATCCCAAAGAAGGGCAATGCCAAGTAATGTTCAAACTACCACACCATTGCACTCGTTTCACATGCTAGCAAAGTGATGCTCAAAATCCTACAAGCTAGGATCCAGCAGTATGTGGACCGAGAACTACCAGAAGTACAGGCAGAATTTCGAAGAGGGAGAGGAAGTAGAGATCAAATTGCCAACATACGCTGGATCATGGAGAAAGCTAAAGAGTTCCAGAAAAAAATCTACTTCATTGACTATGCTAAAGCCTTTGATTGTGTGGATCACAACCAATTGTGGCAAGTTCTCAAAGAGATGGGAGTACCAGACCATCTTATTTGTCTCTTGAGAAACCTATATGCAAGTCAAGAAGCAACAGTGAGAACTGGACACGGAACCACTGATTGGTTCAAAATTGAGAAAGGAGTTTGGCAAGGCTGTATACTGTCGCCCTGCCTATTTAACTTATATGCAGAGCACATCATGAGAAAGGCGGGGCTAGATGAATCACCAGTTGGAATTAAGATTGCTGGGAGAAATATCAGCAACCTCAGATATGCAGATGATACCACTCCCATGACAGAAAGTGAAGAGGAACTAAAGAGCCTCTTGATGTGGGTGAAGGAAGAGAGTGCAAAAGTTGGCTTGAAACTCAACATTAAGAAAACTAAGATCATGGCATCTGGTCCTCCCACTTCCTGGCAAATAGATGGGGAAGAAATGGAGGTAGTGACTGATTTTATTTTCTTGGGCTCCAAGATCACCGCAGACAGGGACTGCAGCCAAGAAATTAAAAGACGCTTGCTCCTGGGGAGGAGAGCTTTGGCAAATCTAGACAGCATACTAAAAAGCAGAGACATCACCCTGCCAACAAAAGTGTGTATAGTCAATGCTATGGTTTTCCCAGTTGCAATGTATGGCTGTGAAAGCTGAACCATAAGGAAGGCTGAGTGCTTGAAGGATTGAGGCCTTTGAGTTGTGGTGCTGGAGGAGACTCCTGCGAGTCCCTTGGACTGCAAGGCAATCAAACCGGTCAGTCCTAGAGGAGATCAACCCTGACTGCTCTTTAGAAGGCCAGATCCTGAAGATGAAACTCAAATACTTTGGCCACCTAATGAGAAGGAAGGACTCCTTGGAGAAGAGCCTAATGTTGGGCACAATAGATGGCAAAAGAAGAAGGGGACGGCAGAGGGTGAGGTGGCTAGATGGAGTCACTGAAGCATTTGGTGTGAGCTTAAGTGGACTCCGGGGGATGGTGGAGGACAGGAAGGCCTGGAGGAATGTTGTCCATGGGGTCGCGATGGGTCAGACACGACTTCGCAACTAACAACGACAGCTGTTTGAAATTATTAAAAGTGCTACAATATTCTTAAGGTCACAGATATAAATGTCTCCTTCTTTTGCAGTTTCCAATTCTGAAGGTTAATGAGGATTTGTTGTAGCTTAGAAATAGAAAATCATTTATAGGGATACGATTATATTTATTTATAATATTTTACCTTTTCAGCGTTTTTTTCTGACTCAAGTTAAATTTAGGAGGCTATCAGAGTATGGTGAAATGAAAACACATTCCATATTTTAACCTGAATTTATTTATTCATTACATGATTATGAATTACTGCTGCTGAAAAAGTAATTTTGATCTGGTAATTCATTATGGATGCAGGACCTCTGAAGGAAAGAGGTGCACACCGATAACTGCAAAAGATGTGCACATGAAACTCAACTGAAATTAATCGCCAGTGAGGTGCTTCTGGTATGTACTGGAGTAGAGACAGAGCTCTGTATTGAAGGCCAAGTGTAAGGAGAC